AAAAAAAAAAAAATCTATACTCCAGCACAAAACACAAGCACTTGTTTATAACCTATAATCTAGGTGAAAAGCGTTTAAAAGGAGCCCACACCCTTCAGATCCTATCAGCATTATTCATCTGACCTTCAAGAAATAAAACCCGGAGCTGTGCGACACATATCAGCTTAAATATCAATGCAATGCAATTAAGTCAAGCTGCTTTTTGCATGACAGCTACGGCAACAGAAAGCATCAGCTGACAACTGAACGGGCGCATAAATAGTGTAGAGACTTTTATTTATCAAAGTGACTCGGATAACGTACAGCTATCCGGATCCCAGGACACGTCTCTCCAAAAATGCATCGACGTTCGTGATTAAAAATTACACTGTGAATATGCATACAGCACAAGCGTTAAAATAAGCCGTGTAGTTACCAGCACGATGAGAGAGTCTGTGTGCACGGATGGCAGATCCCAGTCGCCTCCCCAGCAGAGCAGCTCCATGGGTTCCGCCATGTTGGTGTGCACCACTGAGCATCCCAGTGCGCCAGGAGAGAACTTGCACCCAGCAAATGTTTGTTAAAATACATAAATGGAAGCAAGAAACCGAAAAATAAGAAACCAAAACCTTACTTTTTATTTAATTTAAAAAAATACATCAGTTAAGAAATGATTTTGCCAAATTCAGCAAATAAATATATAAATAAACAGTGTTGGGGAGTAACTAGCTACAAGTAACTGTAATCAGTTGTAGTTACTGAGAAAAAAACGTGTAGTTAAATTACAGTTATTTATGAAAATGTTTACTATTATTACGGGGATTACATCTGAATATTTTCTCACACATACCGATTTTAATTGACTCTTTTAATTTAAAATTAAATTATTATAGTCTTAATTCAAGTGAAGAAGGATTTTGAAAGTCTGACAGTAATCAGTGTTGAGCCCTATAGTGTAAGGTTAACCCTGCCTGCTTTAAATGTTTGAAAATGATTAAAAGCTGAAAACATGTATTAGAAATTTAGAAAAGTAATCATAAGTAATCAAATGTAATTAGTTACATTAGCCTACTTTAATAACGTAACTGAAATAGTTACACTATTATTACATTTTAAATAGGGTATCTTGTAATCTGTAACTTACAATCATAAAAGAATTCTGCTAGGTTTTTCATTTATTTATTTTTTTAAAGAATGAAATCTGTTTTCTTTATTTGAGAATCTGCAGGATACAATACACAGGCAGTTGTAGAGTTAATGTGGTAAACTCATTCATATGAAGCTGAAAGTTTAACTGATTTTCCATAACTCATCTGTCGTAACACTCAAACTGGCAAGACTCAGCAGGGACATGTCACGCCAGATCATTCCTGTAAATGTGTTCTTTCTTTCTTTCTTTCTTTCTTTCTTTCTTTCTTTCTTTCTTTCTTTCTTTTTTGACAGATTGTTTGGTTAAGTGCAGTCGAATTGTTAAGCCATTATTATTTCTGTGTAAAAATCCTCAGTTGCAACTTTTAAGTACGGTTTAATTGAAAATGATAAATGTAAAAATAAGAACAAACGAATTCTTTTTTTTTCTTTTTTTTTTTTTTTTTGCTTTCAAAAGCATTTGTTTAATTAGATAATTTAAACCAGAATATTCATTGCAACCTTTAACTGGCGCAGGTTCTGACCAAAAACCAAAGCATATCCTCCCATCATTTACCATCATTAACAAAGAGCTCTTTTAGAAGGTTTAGAAGGCTTTCTGGTAAAAGCACAGAAGCATTCTGGAGGAGGTGCTTGGTCACACCTTATATATAGAGAGAGACATCTGAAAAGCGTAAATCACTTGAGCACCAGTCTGGTTCTCGTTCATCTGCAGGGCTACAGGGAACAGGCAGTTCTGTTTTGACGGCTAATGATCAAGACTGAATCAAGGGTCAGAGCAGAAACTATTTTTCCAGGAATAAGGTGGAACTCTTTAACTGGATTTGTGACATAAAAAAAAAATCCACAATGGGTACTTGGATAAGAATCATATTCAGTTTACAGTTAATTTTACAACTCTTTGATACAGTGAAAACGCAAGGAATTGGTAAGACCTTAAACCTTATAATAGTTAAATATTTAATATTTAAGAAATTAAAACTTTTTGTGAATGTTAATATTCTTGCATTTTTTATTTGCATATATTTACAAAACTGTTTATGAATAAAAGTGTACATGCCTTAATTTTCTTCTGTTAAAATGTGAAATAAATGAAAACCAGCTAATTTCTGATCAAATATAATATCAATATTAGCAAAAAAAATTTTTTAGTTAGGCAGGTCATTTATAACTCCATAAATGTCATAAATTATCTGGAAATCCCCCAGCATGCAGTGGGATTAACAAATGTGGAACTGAACACTTACTGTAAAAAATCTAAAGTTGAGAAAGCTTAACGTTTAAAGCAACCAGCTTCAGGAGATTTTTTAGTTTTCTCAACTTGATTTTGTAGGAGATTTTTGAGTTTTCTCAACTTTTTGTTGGATAAACTGAATACAAGAAGTTGAGAAAACTCAAAAATGTCTTGAAGCTGGTTGCCGTAAACTTGTAAGTTTTCTCAACTTTTGATTTTTTACAGGGATCTATGAAATGACCATTAGCTGAGGACAAATTTGTCAATGACCTTATTGGTTGCTTTTTATATTGTGTCCTGGACAAAAGAGTAGCGGAATAACGTGTATTACACAAATGCATCAAAAACCATCAGTATCCAGTGCAAATCTGTTGACAAAAATGCTAATTTTGCAGTTTATGATCTTCTGGTGTCACCGGATTGCTTACCTGACCTTCTGCAAGGAGGAATACAGGCAAAGAACATGGACAACGTTTTTATCCTGGCAAGCCTGCAGCTGCAGAACAAAGCTCCAACTCGGGTCTTCCGCATCTTCAATGCCCTAGACAACACAGATTATTTTGATTTCACCGTTCAGGGGAAATTAAACAAAGGTTTGTGTGATCAGAGCTCACTAATGTGCTTTATGTTCAGTGGCTCAATAGAAACTTGATATGTACACTAAATACTTTTTTCTGTTCACAGTCGTTTTGAAATATCTGAAAAGCAATGGAAAGGTTGGATCAACCAATTTCGGTAAAGTGCCACTGACAGATGGTCAACAACACCATATACTGCTCCACTTCAGCGGGCTGCAGCAGGGCACCCCCACCACGGCCCTCTATGTGGACTGCAGGCTGGTGGAGAGAGTGCAGGACGTGCCGCTGGCCTTCAAATCACTGCCGCAGGGCCCAAAACGAGTCACGCTCAAGACCCTGCCAACCTCATCCGAGGTAATTCATTATTCTATTTATCTATGCATACAGTAAGCTGTAAAAAAAATTAATCTACAGTAAAAAAACTGGCATCTCTGGTTGTCAAAAATTCATCGTAAAAAATACTACAGGTTTTGCAGGATACTTGTATATTTTACAACTTGTAACAATATATTTCATTAAGTGATATAATGTTAATATGCCTACTGAACACTACCAATATCTGCCTTTTTACCTTAAAATATACTGATAATCAGTGGTGTGCGGTGGTGTTCTGAAATGAGGAGGCAAAGTCTTCAAAGTTTTTTTTTTTGTTTGTTTTTTTAAATCAAATGTAAATTCATGTCCCAGTCACAATATCTTGGTTAAATATACATTACTTACACTATCATAAAAATAAAAAAAAAACGATTCTATTTTATATTTTTACATTAACAATGTAATCAACATTATATTTATTAAAGTCATGTATGAATCTGTTAAATATACATTACTTACACTATCATAAAAATTAAAAAAAAACTATTCTATTTTATATTTTTACATTAACAATGTAATCAACATTATATTTATTAAAGTCATGTATGAATCTAATCAGGTTAGTGTTTTTAAGCATTTTACATTTATTCCAAAATAATAACTCAAGGCAGTAACCATTTAAACAGTATATTTTATTTGTGAACTTACATTCAGCTATTCTTTTTAATATTTTTTTAAATGATTATTATTATTGAATTTTTCAGATCATCAGTCATGAAAGCTTGGTAAATATTGGTCACAGACAGAGATTTAGGCTACTTTAAATTTCACCAAGCTGGTTTATTAAATTTATTGAATCTTATTTTGACGTTACAAAGTGGTTATAGCTTATCTAAGTGTGTGAGTTGTTTATTTACTTTTTAAAATTAGTCTTCCCATTAACACCGTTATATTTGTGAATGCGGAATGCACACAAACACAAGAGGTGGGATTCATAACCAGTCATATACAATCATATCGCGATAGAGGCATTGCCTCCTCTCACATGACTTTCCCCCATTCATTCTCAATGATCCCCCACTAAACTTACCGCACGCATCAGGGGTTTGTTAAAACTCAATGGGCTCAGTGGAGGCGAGAGAGACATGAGCTCCTGCTGTAACTTTACCTGCTAGTGTCGCTGTTAGATAATGTTTTTTTTTTTTTGTTAGAAAAAAAAGTGATTTAATGCACTTTTTAATGTTGTATTTTGTAATATTGGCGTTGTTTTACTTTTGTACTACAAATTTCTTTCTCATCCAATATTTTGAGGAGGCACTGCCTCCCTTGCCTCCTCAGAGGTAACGCCCCTGCTGATAACCACCCTAATATACAGGTGGCACAATAAAAAAGCCACATGATCAATCAGAGTTCATTGCAAGTGACTTGTCCATAAATCACAGCCAATACTTGTGTGAAACAAAATTATTTGTACAAAATATAATCACATGATGAGTCATGCAGGGACTTTTTTACTTGCAAAACCCATAAATTTGACTGTATTTTACTGTAAAATTACATGTAATGTGGTGTTAAATTATTAACAGTTTTTCACCGTGTAAGGTAACTTACACTTAATCAATTAGCGTGTTTTACTGTAACATTTAACAGTGTTTTTCTGTAAAAATTACAAAAAAAATGTTACAGTGTGTGAATATGTACCTGTGTTACAGGACAAGTTGACAGACCTCAAACTCGTGCTTGATGAGTCTATTGATAATGTGGTAGAGCTTCAGGACTGCAATGCTCCAGAGCAGGGTGAACAGAGGGAAACACTGCAGCTACTAGGTGAGGCTATTGTTTCTCTGTCATCTGTGTCTTATTCAGCTTTAGTTTTGTTAATGATTGGTTATTTGATTTTTTTTTTCCGAATACAGAGAATATCATTATGTTACATTTCTGCAGGAACAACTTCAAAAATGGAAGCTGGCCCAATGTTTGAGCTCATGCGAATGATCCAAGAGTTGAAACAGAAGGTCGATCAGCAGGTAATTTGAAATTGAGTGGGAAAACAGTTCCTTAAAGGGATAGTTCACACAAAAAGTACAGTTCTTTTGAGTTCTTTCAGGAACAGATCATTATTTTCACTAAATCAGTTGACAGAATCAGTCTGAATGATTCCTGCATCAATCAGGTTTCAACTCACTGCTTCAATAATGGCGGGGAGATTATTAATGTTTATCAATCTAGTGCTCACACAAAGCTAAAGAAGCCTATGGACTACTTTTA